ACAGTGTTTGCTCGAACCCCGTACATGCTCACGGCATAAAGAAACCAGGGGGCTTGGTTCGAACCAACACTAAGAGAAATAGAGAACACCGAACTTAGAAAATTAGTTAAATTTTGTATGTGGAAAAAATTGTAGTTCACATTCTTTTCTGCTGTCTAGGATTCTATTCTATCCATCCGGATTCAGGAACAGAATCTTCGCCTTCAAGACAACAGCCATCGATTTCCAGTTTTCAGTGTGCATAAGCTCCATTAACGGTTACACAGGTGACGTCTCTCATGGAAGCGTATGGGAGATCGACATCATAGCAAATGCACAAAACCTTAGTTTTCCTTGTTACTCTCGCATTAATCAGCTGCCTTGAGGTTCACAGAGCTTTAGACCCTCCATGAGGTATGCGCTGAGGCTGAATTCAAGTTAATTTCCATTCGCAGGATAGATGGTTTAGCACAAAATTTAGCATGCAGTTCTTTTCTCCCCTCCACCAGCTAAAGATATATTAAAAACTTTTATTCCAGACGAAATCTAAGCATACACATAACCAACGGCATGATATGTTATTTATCAGCAACCTTTGTTGTTCGAGAAGTACCTCGAGTCCAGTTGCACCCTCAGTTTGCCTTCTCAATCCCATTTTTGTACCTGCATTAAAATTCATTAGTTCGGTAAACGATTAAATAGACTCTAAAAGTTTTAAACTTGCTGACTCATCCATTCAAGGTTGATGTTTTAGTACGGCACAAAATTTTAGAAAACACGGCCAAATAAATGAATAGCCTTGAAGTCTGAACCATTGACATACATCTACGAATAAAAACAGTATCCTTATCAAAACATCAAGAAATAAATCACAGAACTCCACCACAACCGTTGGAGCCTGTCAATGAATCTGACAAGATGTCGGATGTAGTTGATGTAGTTCATAAAGCATTTATGGTACATCAACTGGTGCAGCTCGTTTTGGACCAAGACTAAATGACAGCCCAGCAACATCTTATTCATGACTTGCTGTCCTGACGTCAATCAAAACTGACAAGAATACCATCCAAGTACGTTCACATGTACCCCAAAGAGAACTGTACAAGAGATTCGGAGTTCCACGCATGTTATGTTATTTAATAGATCGTTGTAAAGTTACAAATGAACTGATTGATTCATCTGGCGAAAGAAACGAAGATGCTTGACCGATTTACCGATTTATTGGTCGACAGCTCTTGTGTTTTCCAGCCTTCATCCACAGCTATTTTCGATTCAATGCTACAGAAAGGCCTATGCATATCTGCACACAAACTTCTGCTAGCTTCCAATCGCCAAAGAATCAAAGCCGCAACTTTTCGAAAACTACATTTCCTTTTTAACTATTGGGTAACTCTAATTCAGCCCACATCTACTACCTGGTCGCTATCTCGAGGTTGTATTTCAAACTTCATAGAACATCAACGACTCTTATAATTTCATGCTTTTAGTGTCTGTCGCTGCAGGCTCAAAAACATGAAAGAGTCTCATCCTGCAGCATTAAAGAAGTGATGATTTACATCGGTAACTGCTGGCAACTTCGGTAACCAAATACTGTTTACAGTCAGAGCGACAACGACAACGATGAAGCCAAATACGAATCATAAGCATTGCGGAAGATGTCGAGGATATGTGGACCAGTTTAATGATTTAAAACTATAAAAACAGGCTATAACTGTTTTTAACTAAGCATATGTACTGGTTAAAAAAACATATTTACATCATGAATACGAAAACAACAATATGGAAGAATTTGTTTCAAAACCGTTCTCGATCCTGAGGCCGCTTATAAATGAAACTCTTCCTTCTCAATACGCAGAATAAGACAACACAATCGACATTCCATCTTATACTACAGGTCGACAACTATGAATTGCTAAAATCTATGACACCAGTGTCCATTGTCAAACTCGATAAAAAGCTACTGTTTCAAACTAGGTACAGTATCAGATGATTGTTGATCATTATTTAAACACATCGGTCGTTCAATCTGATGACTATTGCCGTGGTTCCAAAACGTTTTGCATATTTTTCTTCTCGACGAATGAAACGATACAGAAATGCAATTAACTCTACAGTTTCAGGGCCGAGTTACCGAGTCGTATTTACCAAACTCTATAGAACCACGAAAATAGTCATCGGATGGAACAAGATGATGCCTAAATGATGATTAACAACGATTTGGCTCTGTACTTCTTCTAAAAGACAAAGGACTTCATCGAGTTTTTTCCCCTGATTTTGGCAGAATTTAACAAGTTTTTCAACTGAAATGTGCATCCTCGCAACAAAAAATATCTTGTTAAAACTTTTTATAAAGTTTACGAAATAGAAGTTTAAAAACTAGTTAACAGCAATGCAACCAGCTCGTACCACTTAAAATCAGAAGCAAAAGAACCACACGAAACCATCGAATTCAAACGAATAAGGCACTTACTTATTTAAGCATAACGTCCGAGACAAATTTTGGAACCAGAAAGAATGAACCGATAGAAAGTGATTTTCACGTTAGCTCTATTTTGCAGAAAGTTCACATTTGTAGAGATGGTCAAATTTTGTTGAATTGCACACAAAATCAGAAATAAATACTTTGATTTACAAACTCTATTCGATAAAGCGCAAAAAACACGCAGCCGTGAAGCATATTACATATCCTTACGCTCATTAGAAATAAGGTTTTCATCAGTCGAGTTATTAAAAAAATGATTTTGCTGAACCTGCAACCAATGTAACTTATGATAATATAACCAATATAACTTGCAACAGCATAACCGAGCTTCTTACGGATGGCCGTTCCCTATTTTTTTCTACATTTAACTACGTCAAGATATAGGAACCTCCTTATATCTTCCATTTAGCAGGTGAATTTGCATGTTTCCAATTCTGATGATAAGTAATTATGTCTGGCTGTATGTAATGACTATGAAAGTGCTGAAAATTCTAGGAGCAACATTTCGGCAGGTCTATCTGAAGGTACAATTGATGGCAAGGTTACTTAGTCAGCTTCGAATTTTGTTCGCCATGATTACGTACCATGATTACCTACCTGACTGCTGCATTGTATTCCGGTCGAAAGAACGCCGTGTATCCCGCTCTCTTTCTTCCAAAGTATTTCATAAGAGTCACATGCGTTGACTGACTTTCGTGCATAAGTTTGAATGAGTCTATATAAGCGAACTAAATGAGGACATAAAAATTATCACTCTCTGCGCCTGACTTGAGTAAAATTCATTAAACAGTAGTAGTTAAGTGACTGCTTCTGCAAAACCGTTGTCTTCCAGCACCTTTTGTACAGTCCAGTTTAGCTCTATTTAATCAAATTCTAATAGGCACCAGTTCATGATCAGTTCAAGTTTTCTGCCATTATCACTATATTGCTAATGTAGCAGTTTATTCTGTTTCACGTTTTTCTGATTCTACAGTTGAAATTGCATTTATTTCACAACGGAAGTCAAGAATGAAATAAAGCGTCAAAATTGAGGTTTTACTAATAAGCCGTTTTACCATAATCAAAGGATCGGAGCATAATTACCAGAAAGTCAAGACGCCCCCCAAAGCCTTGAAGACAAAGGAACTTTTGCCAATTGAGCACTGATGGTTTCAAATCTGTACTTCCGTTCACAGCGCTTGAGCTGGCACGTAGAATTTACTTCGCATCTTCTGCAATCTTATGGAAATATTCGCAGATGGAATTTGTCCGAGAAGAATGAATACCCTTAAAGCAACGCTATAACAATTGTGTAGCAAGTTACCGATACATATTGCAATATAAAACCCAGTTCAGCGGGTTGACAAACGCAATTGCAGAACAATGTGCGAAAAATGAAGATATTTGGGATCAGTGTAGGAAATAAAGAATGTTACGCAGTCGAGGATGCTACTCGCGTCTGTTTTCCCAATGAGATTTTACCCTTCACCTTAACCATCTTCAATACTCCAAGATGATCTCTTTTTAAATGTGATTCTTAAAATGTCAAGTACTCCCTTGCGACACGGTGTTATATGCAAATTTGACCATCTAAACGGATAGTACGTTCATCTTACTAGTTCGTCCTCTATGAACGAGTGAATCCGGTTCCAAAACTCTGGTTGTCTGTTCAGGTCGTTGTGGCCACAATTTTGAATGATTAGCGGTTGAACGGCTCCAGGGCATTTCTGAGCAAACTCTAGTGCATCGCTACAGGCAGCGATGCGATCGTTTGCCCCATGCAGGACCAGCGTGGGACATTTGATCCGGTGTATTTTTTCGTAACTAAATAATTTTAATATAAACGTTTTCTATTCAACGGTCAACTTAATCTGGGAATCTATAGTCGATATATGAATATTTGAATCAGCAGCAGAGAATCATAAACTGCTAGATCACAGCAGACTCATTTTTTCCAAACGTTATCCTATCTTTACCATTAACTGTAATCAGTCTAGGTATTATTTCTATTATGCCATGCATCGGTCAGTTTATCAACGTAACATTAAAACCTGAAAGTAGTCGATGGTTAAATCTGTCCTAAACTTATCCTAATCTAAATCTATCCTTAGTCCATCCACTGCAATGATTGTTTTCCGTGTTAACTAATAATGTTTTTCCATGCCTATTTGATGTATGAAATAAATTGTTGTTCAGTTTCGATTTGCATCGAACAGATTTTCGTCAGTTTTACTCGATTTACAATGACTGACTGTGGGTCACTAATTTCAGACACTTCAACGATTAGCTGCTAAACTGCATATAACAATATAACAGGACAGCGAGAACCAATTTGTGGCATTCTTACAGTATTACATATAATAGTATCTGAATTGATTTGATTTTGCTATTGTGACTCATGCGCATTTAATAGTACTTCATGCATATTACTCGTAGAAAACCGTAGATGAACTACAGAGGCGTTGAAAGTAACTATAAATTTTAAAAGCTTTTATAAAATGTGACCTGGTTGCATGAAAGAAGAGAATTCAGTAATCAAAGCAGCTAATAAAAATTTATGCCACTATTTCGACGTCGTGATACACTACGGATCTCGATAATTTTGGTGATGAGATCTCGTTTAATTCCAATGATAATATCGGAACGACATCTGTG